TGCTCCGTTTTGGGTCAGAGTGGGTGGGTGTAAATAAGTAACTGTCGGGTTTGTTTCCATTTCACTAGACTCCCCCTCCCCCTCCCTCCTCCTCTCCTTCCTGGCCTTGTTAGCAGGATTTGGCAGGGGCAGCTGGCCTCATTTTTGTGACAGTGGGTGTTGCCCTCACTGCAAGAGCAAGGAAGGGGTGCTTTAGTGGCTACTTCTTACTCCCTGCTGATAGTACTTTTCTTTCGAATTACATCGAAAAACATCTGAGTGTATGGCCTGAACGTTTCCTGTGTGCACAGAAACGTGTGTGACTCATTAATGAGTCTACAGTTGTAGAAAGTACATACATGTCTAAAACAGAAGAGTTTGTGATGTAGTTGTCACAGAGCCTCATGTGTGTGACATGACTAGCATGTAAACTTTAACGTGTTTTAAGTGTTCAAACGTTACAAAATTGTAATTGTTTCCTACGTGTCGCGACATTGCTGATGTTTTCGCGCCAACATTCGAAGCGACTCCAAGTAATTTGTTCAGTTACGACCCTTTGATGAATGCAGATAATGGGGTGTAGTTCTCCAGAAAGAAACAGATGGTGTAAAAGACGTGGATTGAACGTGGTTTCGTGGAATTTTCGTGGTTGTAGATACATCTAACAGTTGTCCGCCGCTTTTTATGTATCTAAAAAATGGTACATAAAATCATCAGAAACAATATTTGCACCTATACTTCTCACTAAATTGGATTTTTATTGTTCTGAACGCCGTGTTCTAGTGACAATGAAGCGTGGATCTCACGTCGAATCAACGTGTTTCAAAGTTCGCGCGTTGTAAACATATACACTCTAAATGTAAAAGAACAATTTTGTCCATGACGAGGGAACGGATTTACAAGTTACAAAATTGTTCCGTTAGAGGGGACAAATTTCAATTTTGTTCTATCCTTATGGACAAACTTGTGTCCTGTTTCGTGTACAATTGTAAATGTCTTAAGACATTTGTCCCAGCGAGTGTACGTTTAAATCCGTCCCCCTTTCCCCAACAAATCTGTTTCCAAGGAGGGTACAATTAACATTTTGTCCCTTCTAATGACACAATTTGTCTTTAAAATGACACGTTTTTGTCCATAGATCTCTTGTCTGCGGCTATGGACAAACGTTCTGTTGCTAGTTTAACATTTAGAGTGTACACGACGACTCCTTGTTAAACCCTACTCCACATCGATTGCCTCGAAACCCTTTATTAAGTTCCCGTACTAGTTGGTCTCGGTAGTAGTTGCTAAAACACCTCGCATGAAACTGTTACTATAATAATTTTTCAATGAGAAATCACACGCGGTCACCTGCATGGAAGTCCACTCAGACAGTGTTGCTCTAGACAAAACACCTTTAAAATATCACCCCACGACACAACATATTTTTTAGTTGCGTTCCGCACATTCTACTAAAAACTGATTTTTTTCTATGTCTTGTAACCCTCTACCTATCTATTTCTGTAGTGATGCATTGAGATTCAGATCTGCGTGTAGTACATTTATCCATTCCATGGAGACATTTACGTCAACGTCACGTCATCACGTGATCACCACGTCGTTAGATCGTGGATTAGATAGTCAAATTCACGTGGATAACACGTGATTTGCTCACTTATTTTCCACGTTACGACACCACGTCAATTTCACGACTTTTTCAAAAAAGAATTCTCTCTGGGAGCTTCTAATCCATTTTATTAAAATTGACTCCGAAAAGAAGACTTATTGGCTGATTCGCGCCCCAATTTTTCTGCTTATTTTGTGCCGGATTCTTGCGTGCGGACGGGGGGCTTACTTGCACGGGGCCGCAAAACACCATAGCAAGTGACTGCAGGCAAGCCTGCCCGCACACCTGTATCCGGCGCAGTGTAAGCATATAAAAGACGGAATCTCATCACCCATCCTAAGTACACAATAAGAGTATCATTCACGTATGTGTCAACAAATGCCATTATAGTTGCATTCTTGTGTGACCCTTTTGTCCATAGAACTCGTGGCAGACTATCTAGTGCCGCTCTCTGTGGCCTGACGGAAGAAACACGGCCAGGGCGCGCCTCGCTGCAAGGTCGTTTGAGTGTTCACTAGGACTCCACCAGGTGGCGCGTCGGCTCGTCCACTGCTCCCTACTCTGTTTGTTTTGATGAGTGACGTAGTACTGGGTACACCCAACCTTAGCGCCGCGTACGCTTTTCTTGTATTTTTACGAGAAAATTTGCAAGGATATGTCGGAAAATTAGAATTCAGAATTGTAAATTTGCAAGCACGTCTAATGAACTTGGAGTTGACCGCCAAGCAAGAATGGGACTTCTTTAAATGCACACCATATTTTGAAAATAAAAATTACAACGAGTTTACGAGGGTATTTTTCCCAGTGGATCGAGGGCTGACCCAGGCTTGAGGTGTATGCCATGTATGGGGAAAAGACTACGGTCACGTGTGTGTGAACTGCCCAACTGCTGTGAGTTGTACCAGAATTATAAAGCTAGTGCTCAAGATCCTAGCCGCGTCTGCTAAGAGGTTGAGCCTACGGTACCTCCTCGGTGACAGCCGTCACAACCCTTTTTTTTTATTTGCTTTGATCTGACAATTTTTTGCGATACAGAGGTATTTACCTCTGTACAAATTTTTACCAAATATAATAAACAGTCATAAATTTCCTTTTATATTGTTACAACGGTTAGGATCTTTTTTTCAAAATTTGATAATTTTTATATTTTTAAAAAACATTGTGTGCACACCATTTTCATCCGGGGAGGCTAAGCACACATTTGCTCGTGCGTGCCTGCAGGCATGCTGTTCCTTATGTGTAGATGGTGTTTGTTTTACAGTCTATACATGCGCGCGCCTACGCATTGAGAAGATTCGTTTGTGAATTACATCACGAACATTTCGCCCCAGTTTCAATTGCGACTCTGGAATTCGCATCTGCAGAACCGGCTCCTCCCGCGCTCAGCCTCGCTCGTAACAACCTTGCTGTCGTGCTAACAATAATCTTTAAATTGGGGTTGGCTCCTTTTTTTGTCCTTTGTGTCTGTGCATCACTATGAATTTTGTACCGTCGGAAATGGATACGCCTACTATTCATGCGGGATAAATTTCTTTCTATAACCGGATATTCGGATCGTTTGTTTTACTTTGATAAGCCGCGTGTGCGGGTGAGAGCGGCACGCTCGTGCCTCAGGCCGATTGTCATTGCATTTCCGTCTTGCTACTTCTTGCGGCTGTGCAACCTCGGTTTTTGAAAAAAAAAAAAAAATACACTAAAGCGCGTAACCACATGTCGTACTGCACTAAATATGTTCAATATTGAAGCTCACTGTGTCGGTCCCGAGACAAGAGATCTTTCGTGGCTTTCAAACAAAGAAGACAGTTCACAGCTGGATTTTGTTTTGAGACGCTGTCGTTTATTCTTAACCGATGTAGTGTAAGTTTCTTGTTCTTTTTCTGTGCTCGTGCTCTTTATAATTTGCTCTTTATAATTTTCAACAATTTTCTTCGTACGGAAGCAGTTTTCCTTTGTCATTTGTTCTAGTTGCAATTTTTACTTTTGAGCAGCTTTGCTATTATATGTTTAGACTTTGAACTTGAATCCTTAAAGTGATTCCTCGGCTGACCGTGCTCTGCTTGGAAACTGGTTTCGTAGTCAACACCTGCTGCCCCGCCGGCTTGCTCCGACTGTGTTACGATCCAAGGGGCAAGGAAAACCCGACACGCTGCATATCCAGACTTGCTGAATATGCGGCTGTGCTGCGTTAAGATCATAGAACGCAGCGTTAAAGACGACTTGTTAAAATTACTGCTTTTGATTGCAGTACAATAAGAGGGACTGTGGGAAAATATTTTTAAAAAGGGGAAAAAGATAAATTGACGCATTGTTTTATACTTTTTTATTTTACCCTGATAAATTACGTGACAGAATAAATAAATAAATACAGTATTCTGACAAATATGGGCCCTAGGGCGTTAGCAATATGATAACGCGGTGCGATGGTTGATGTGTGTTGGTGAAGATCATTCTGCGACAGATAATGAAATGACATGATTTTTTTTTTCAAGTTTCATTTTTCAAGGTTCCTTCCCAGGTCGTAGCGGTGGCATCGTTCAGCCTTCTCTATGTACAGCGGGGTGCTCGTGCCTGGGGTCGATCCGGTTGACACTTAGTACAAGGCGGCGCCGTGGCCGTAGCGGCAGTTGGGGTCAGCCAGAGCCGCGCCATAAGAAAGGGCGGAAGATGCGCCGTAGCTGACCGCAGGCGCGCCGAAGCTCACAGCGGGGGCAGCGGCGTAGCTCACGGCTGGGGCGGCAGCGTAGCTCACAGAGGGGGCGATAGCCTTGGCGTAGCCGATGGAGCTGGCCTGGCTTATGTACGAGGAGGAAACGGCGGGGGCCGCGGAGGACGCGGATGCGGGGGCGGCAACGGCGGTCTTAACCACCGCAGGGGCGGCGTAGCTGACGGCTGGTGCAGCAGCGTAGGACAAGGCGGGGGCGGCGGCGTACGACAGTGCGGGTGCAGCGGCGTAGGACTTAACGACTGCGGGGGCAGTGGCGTAGGACACGGCGGGGGCAGCGGCGTATGACAAGGCAGGGGCGGCCGCGTAGGACTTAACAACGGCGGGCGCAGCAGCGTAGGACACGGTGGGGGCGGCGGCGTAGGACACGGCAGGGGCAGCGGCGTAGGACTTAACGACTGCGGGCGCAGCAGCGTAGGACACGGCGGGGGCAGCAGCGTAGGACACGGCGGGGGCGGGGGCGTAGGAGACAGCAGGGGCGGCAATCGCGGTCTTTACAACCGGTGCAGCGTGGACTGCGACACCTTCCTTGCGGACAACCGCGTTGAAGCCATTGACGTCATCAGCAGTGTAGTCGACGATACGCTTGGTGCCGTCGGGCTCGACGAGGGAGTACTGGCCCACCACATGGTCACCAGATCGCGTCTCTTGGGCGTCCTTGATGTCTCCAGTGTGGCCGTCGTGGACGCCGTAGTTGTATGAGTACTCAGGGTGGGGGTCGTAGGGCTCTGGGGCGGCGGCAACCGTCTTGACAACTGCGGCGGGGGCGGCACCGTAACCAATGACGCCCGCGTTCACAGCTGCTACGGCCAGGAAGAGGACGCACGCGTGCTGCAACAAGGAAATGACATTGTTCTTTTAAAAAGGTGCTCCGTTCGTATCTGTTAAAGTTGTCCTCATAACATCTCATTTACGAGCGTAGTCGTCAATTTAAGTAAGTATTCGTGAATATACGACAGCAATACCCCACTTCTTACGACATTGAGCCAGCTGCAGTGATTGGTCCTTTCTATACTAGGTAGATGTACGTCAGACGACGTATCGCGTAACAGGCTTCGTGATATCTCACGAAACACTGTTACGTGGCGACGCGCCTGGCATACATCTATCTAGGCCTGCCACCCGAGTCGCTCAAACTGAAGAGTGTAAAGACGCCTTCGGCCTGAAAAGTCAGATATTTTTCTCTCCAGGGCTTTATTTTGGCGAGTTACCCCAGCGAAGACCATGAGACCATCAAATATCCGAGAAAAAAGATAATATTTAAATGTTTCGGGGCCATTTCCGTGTCGAAAACTTCCTCTGGCGCCTAAACGGTTATATATACTCAGAAATCAGCAATATTTTCCAAGTGTTTTTTTAAAAAGCCCGTTCTTGGATAATTTTTACGTTAGAGGGCTCAAAATCAATACAGTTCTTGTTTTTATGATACAAAGTTCCACAAAAAATGTAGGTAGCTCTATCTGTTTTCGAGTCATCGTGATCACAACGCGAAACTTTTTGATCGTCACTGGAGTAAGAGGCTTCGCTATCGCTCAGCCAATCAAAACAATTTTTTTTACAGGAAAGGAGGAGGGGGGGGGGGTGAAAGCGACTGCGCGGGTGTGATTTTCATTGATCAAATGTGCTATGCTGGCTGTCGATCGGATTTCCATTTGACGTCGTGGACCTTGGAAGGGCTGTCGGACTTGACATTGGCCTGGCCAAGCTGGCCCGCTCCACCCGCTTTGCCCCCTCTGCCCGCCTCGCCCGCCTCGCCCGCCTCGCCCGCTCCGCCCGCTCCGCCCCTGGGTGGGCAGTGGCTCAGCTGCTGTTGCCATGTAAGGACCAGGCCTCCGGGCCTTAGGGGGCGAGTGCTCATTCACCTGGACGTATTGAGTCCTTAAATTTTAAAAACCGAGAGAATCTAAGCACATTTTTTTAATTTTTACCGCTTTAGCCGTCGTCTTGGAGGTGCCGCTGACTCTAGGTTTCAGTTACAAACCCCACATCCATCGTATTCGGAACTGAATGAAAATACTGTATGATGATTTGCAAACTAGTCGCTTCTTTGACGTGATGAATTTTATATACACGAAAAAAAGGAATTAGCTAATATGGCCTTGGATTAGAATATTAGATCGCCTAGCTAGCTCAATTGGCAATGATAGTTGTCTAAAAAATAAAGCAACTAGCTGTGAAAGCTAATATGCTAGAGCTCTTCGCTAAGAATTAGATAAGTGCGCTCATAGTGATCTAAGGCCACATTAGCGAATGCATTAGCTATTTTACCTAGCTCTTTTTTCCGTGTACCAACTAGTTAGAATTCGTTTTAAAACAAAAACTTACTCGGTACTTGAACTTACGTTCCTGAAGACAACACTTGGGGGAATTTGACTAAAATGGCAATATTCGGGTCCTCACAAAGTTAAATGCTGAACCTGGGGTACTCGATGTGACTTCATACAGAAATGCGTACGTTATAGAATGGCTTGGTGTGCAGTGGCGCGCACCACGCTGTCTTGTGTTATGGTCAGGTCGTGAGCAGCACGGTCAGCAGAGCCTGCGTCGGTAACGACCTGACCGGCTCAACTTGCTCTATATCACGGGGTGGCGTTCGCTGCCTCCGTAAAATGTTACAGGAGAACTCAATTCTTATTTTTTACTCAGGCTCCTACTTCTTTTTTATTTTGGTAATTTCTAATGTGGTGAGGTGTGGGGCTGCAAAGCATGAAAAGAGTATCTCTTATCATATCATACACCCGAAACGCTACTTCATTATGCTGTGCATTTGCACAATGCTGGCAGAATTTTGGCGAGCCATAGTTATGAACAACTGTAACCATGCATAACTAGGGCTTCCTTAAATTCACACATTGTTAAAGGGTTTAGTGAGTACACACACCACGCTTTAACGAGACACCTTACGTTTACAATTACATCTTTGCTTCCTACTCAATAGAAAATAAAAGTGCTTATCCTCGTACACACATGCCTCTTCGTAATGTGTGGACTACACATTTATATCCGTTCACAAATCGTGAAATTGGCCTACGATTTTGAATCTGTTTTACGTTTGTTGAGAGAACAACGAATTTTATCTACATCTTTTTGACGTTCTAAGAAGTACATTTACGTATGAGGTCTTAAATGATATCTTTTGGATAGACATATTTTGTTTGGACATTACGATGTTAAATTTCACCCCCTATTTCACCTATGTAATTTCGGGGCGGCTGTGAAAACCGATCGGCCAGATGCTCTGATGAATTGATTGCAATGCGTATAGTCCAAGAGGTTCACGGATGTACACTTGACACTTCACTTGTCACTTCTCACACTTTGTACAGGACAGGACCCCTTTCCTGCTTCCGGCTAGTATCATTCGAAGGCTTACCTTGAAAGCCATCTTCGATTTTTTGGGGGTGCTTCAGAAAAAAATTTCACACACACAATCACACAACACACACACACACACTCACAACTCGCGCGCGCACTTTGTGTTCGAACTGGACATTGGACGTGCGCTGACCAAGGCTTATATACAGCCGGACTGTCACAGGCCCCTCCCGGCCCCGCTTTGCCTCCCCTCCTGGGGGCGGGAGGCGCCTTGCACTGCCCCCCACCCCCGCCCCTCTCCCTCTGGCCCGGTCTAGACGCCCCCACCACCACGCGATCCATACGGAACCAGATCGATTATTTTTAAGCAGGAGCTGGTTTGCAGATATGTAGAGCGTTCACTGCTGTAGAGAGCCTATGACTATGATCGGGTTTTTGCAATGCTGGCATACAATACTTCTTGGCCATTATCTGACTTTTGCTAATCCACGAGCACAAAAACCCGATAGCGCGGGATCGAAATACAAAAAAAAAGGGGGCCAAAAGAAACCTTTCAAGTGATTCCTGTTATCATTAGTAGTAATCTGACAATGCAGGCAGGAATCACTTCAAAAGTATCTTTTGTCGGAATGTGTTGAAAAGTTTGCAGTTTGCCTGCGGGCTTGTCTTTATTGATAAATAGACAGCGTGCAGGCCTGGGCTATAACTCACCCTACTTCCACAAATAACTAGGTCTCCTTGTTGAGGAGCAACGCGAGCCGCTGCGGACCAGCGTAGTTGACATTCATTTTGCACCGCTGGTATCGTGTTCAAATGGAGGATGATAGTAGGGACGGGGGCATTACATTTGGGTCCAGCCTGTCACAACTTACTAAGGTTGGAACATTGCTGGATCGGTGGAACGCACTTAACAAAAGTAATTAACGCTTCTCTTTTTTTATTTTATTTGGCGCGGAGAAAGGCGTTATTCGTCATTTGGATTCATATTATTAGTTTCGATTCCTTTTATAGAAAGAATTCAAAGGTTTGGACTTAAAGCACGCAAGTTCAGTTGCGCGTTTCGAAAGGCACGCGCAGCTCAGCCTTTTGCCTCTCTTTCTGAGACTAACGCAGTTCTGTCGCGAGCTCTGAAACTCACACAGTTATCTTTTCTAAAGTGACAGTATCGAACTCCGTGAACTATGCGATACGAGTCGAAAGACTAGGCTAATTGTGTCGATGGGTCCTGCACTAGACGATTCGTTGTACACTTGCCCACGCCCAACTCGCGTCGAACTCACGTCAAACTCGCGAAAACTCGCAAACTCGCCATCTCGTTGTACACTTATTTTGGAAGTGGGGGACCCCTCGAATTGTTTGGATTCCAATAAAGATCCCGAAATAGATTTATTCGCTTTTTGCATTTTTTTGCATTTTTTCCAACCCACCGTTATTCCCAGTTTGAGAATTCTTTTTGGCGACCTTGCGAGTGCATTTCTGCAGGGTGCAACGTGCACCACACCACCTGCAATTAACGACAATCTGCTGCTACGCTGCGCAGCGCTTTGGGACCACAGGCCGACCGGCTGGACCAGCTCACACCTACAACCTCATGTCTGAACCCCCCACAAAGTTTAACCCTCCGTCGTCTATGCCAGCTTCTGCCATACAACATAATGTTGTTTCCATAATAGTTTTTCCTTATTTTTGGCATTTTATTAAAGCTTTAAAGCTTAAAGAAAACGTATCAGGATGTAAGTTTCCCGATAGAAATTTCAGTGTCACTCTGGATTTTTGACTTTCTTTAAGGAAAATACGTTTTCGACGCGTCCTAAGAACAAAGTCTGATCTGTTTGCGCGCCCGTCAACAAAGTCCGATCTTTTCGCGCGCCCGTCAACAAAGTCCGATCTGTTCGCGCGCCCGTCAACAAAGTCCGATCTGCTTTTGGCCGCGCTCTGCATCGCTGGTTTAGTTTATTTCTATCTTCACTAATATTGACAGTATAGAAAAAGTAATGACTGCTATGTGATCCTAACAGATTGAAGAATAGCTAAGACCGAAAATGTTAAGCAAAGATACAGAAACAGAATTGTCAAAAAGCTCCAAACGTCCGCCTCCCGAGCGCGGCCAAAAACAGATCGGACTTTGTTGACGGGCGCGCGAACAGATCGGACTTTGTTGACGGGCGCGCGAAAAGATCGGACTTTGTTGACGGGCGCGCAAACAGATCGGACTTTGTTGACGGGCGCGCAAACAGATCAGACTTTGTTCTTAGGACGCGTCGTTTTCCTCTCGGGAAAAAAATCTTGACTTTTCATTTTATGGATTACGTCTGGAAATATCTAGTGGATTTTATTTCCTTAAAGAATATTTTTCCCATACTGGATTTTCTAAAATTTCTATAATGGAAATTCAGATACATCTAAAACTTTTTTTAAAAGTGTGACAGAGGTAATCTAATTGAAGTTCCTAGAAGAGTGTATTGTTGCCATTATATTATCGTGAAAAAAGAAAAACTTAGTTTTTCAACTCTGCTGTATCTTCTAAACGAATGGCCGGATTGCAAAAATAACACCATATTCTTTGTTTTTAGCGAAATTTCAAATAGGCACGTTGTTATTTACGATATGTGGCACTTGGTGCTGGTTGTGCTTCACACTCCGTACGGATTCCAGAGTGATCTGGGATTTTATTTTCTATGGAAATTAAAAGTATGGAAAACGGAAAGTATGGAAAATGAAAATCCAGATAGAAAAGTTGTTTCAATTCCTCACTGGGAAATGGTAAAATCCTGAATGGAAAATTTCCATCCGGAAAACTAAATCCATAGTTATTTTCCCTAAGGGATTTAAAGCTGGGAGCTTCAAAAAAATATTTAGACAAATGAAAAATGATTATCGATATTAAAATACAGTAAGCATCGAAAACTGGTTGGCGTCTTATGACGTCAAGCAGTTTACAGTGTGTTGTTTTGGAAGGATATATGTCCTACTGGTCATGAAGGAACTGTATCGACCTGAGCTCAGTTCATCCCGAAAGCCCGATACGTATACTTTGGTCCATGTAAAGTCAGAGCCGGCCGGACGTCCTCCGAAACCTTATTTCACGCGCTTTCTGAAAAACTGCCCTACGCATTATTTTCGGTCGCACAGTCTCCTATGCACATTATGTCTTCTTTTTAGTAGTGGCTGTCTCCAATTGAAGGCAAGGATTTCCGTTTAAATAGAGACTAGTCGAGACTAGGCATACCATCCGGTAGCAGCGGCGGTGATGCTGTGGCTGTGAGCGCGCACGATGTCCTGTACCTGTGGGGTAGCGATGGTGCCGATCGTAAACAGCTAGCGAGCGATACGCAGGACGCAGGACCTCGTCAATCTGGGCTCATATCTACGACGAGCGTTTTTAACGTGAGGAAATGACGCGGCCTCTTCTCGTCTGTATTTTCTGCTCAGCTGAGCAGCACTAGTGCTTTTCGTCTTATAAGAAACAGACAATCAATTCAATTACTTTGGTCATTCTTATAGCGGTGGAATGTGCCGATATGGTACCATGAACGAAGCTTAAAATACGTTGACCATATCATTATCAAACATTAATGTCGGTGACATGTGGAGACCTCTCTCCATCCTGGGCAGCGCTCTCCTACGTCTGAGCACTCAGCCCTATCAGCCCCATCAAAGAGCTTTCCTCGGTCTTATAATGTGAAAAATATGCTCGTGTGTGCGCGATTTGCCAATATCAAAAGTGCGCCTGACGCTGCCCTTCTGCCCGTCCGCAGTCACGATGGTAGAGTCTTTATTTTGTTTCCGTGTCACGAAGCTGTATGTGTTTACATTGTCCAGGGCTGCCCTGGGGCGTGGCGGGGCGTGGCGGGGCGTGGCGGGGCGTGGCGGGGCGTGGCGGGGCGTGGTGAGGTGTGCAGGGACATGGGAGAACAAGACACTGGCTGGTCAGATTGGACATCGTACCTGATGTGGGGTGCGTTTTGGTCTTTTCAAGGTTAGACATGGTCCGTCCTCGTCTCTTCCTAGCATGGGCTGGGGAAGTGTGAGACAGAAAACACTGATAAATAACGTGTGCAACTTGTATGCACGTGGTTGTGTTCAACACTATGATGCATACACACTTAGGTGTTAGACGAGAAATTTGATTACTTACAAGTGTTTAGCAGTATATTTGAACAATTTTAAGTTGTCCAAACCTTAATAGCGAACCCCAGAGTTGCACATTTCTAAGTGTTTAACCTTGATGTTAAACACATTTTAGTACAGTCAAGTGCCCTAAATACGGACTAGCGCCCAAAATACGGACTTTTTGCTGTTTTCTACTAATAAAGCCCCTAAATCGAAAACGGGTATCAAGAATATTGCTTCCGAGGTTCGCTGGAAAGGTTACACCTTCTGGTATCTACATTTGAAGAAATATTTTCGATATCTTGCATCCTGTTCTCTCTAAAAGCCGCCAAACTTGGCTTCTGGGGTGCCTCGAAAACGGATAGTTTTTATACTGCTGGATGGCGGGGCTCTCAATGCACTGTTAACAATACCGTACCCAACTACTGCAGATGCTACAGTATTTTGTGTACGGTTTGTCACAATACAGAACCGTGCGCCATATTTTGGATACAATACAGCCAAACCGTTTTCAAAAAAACAACATCTTCGTGTTGTACCATACCCAGGGCGTCGCTGGCCTGGCGAGTTGACTCGCTAGTTAGCTCTCGCTGATGATACGTCACGCCAGAAGTCATACGCCAGAGGTGCCGCAGTCCAGCCAGACAGTGGTCTGCCGAGTTGCAAACTAGTCGATTTTTTACGAATGTATTTGTTACTTGAAAATGACAAAGAGTGTGGGTGGAAAAAACGGAAAATTATTCGTAAATGCGCGTTATAATATTTAACCAGCTTGATTGCCAACCATTGTTTACAACTACGTGGAATACTAGCACTGTGCATTAAGAGCATAGATTATTCGAACTTTTGTAGGTGTTTTGAAAGAAGCTAACCAAACCCATTTAAAGAAAACAGCGATACAAGTAAAATATAATATCACGTGAATGCGTCGCCTTCTAGGCAGCATTAAGTTTTGTTTCACTGTGGTGTGGGTCTTTGTGGCAATCCTCTGCCAATCGATACTTGACTTGTTTGATTGATAGCTCGGTCTCAGTTTTGCACTCCAGAACGGGCTCGCTGAACCGTTTCCTTTGGCACCGATCTGGCTGGTGGTGGCCCCGCCCC